AGACAGGGAGTGATAGCATCAAACCGCAGGACAACGAGGACAAGGACACATTGATGAACTGACTGTGTGTGTGTGTGTGTGTGTGTGTGTGTGTGTGTGTGTGTGGGAGAGAGAGAGCGAGAGAGAGACTGGTGGGAGTGGGCACGATAGAGCTGTCAAGATAGTGATTTACTGATAGAGAGAGAGAGGGAGGACTGCTGAAGGGGAATCAATAAGAAGGAAACCGTGAAGGAAAAGAAAGAGAGAGAGAGAGAGAGAGAGAAAGAGAAAAGGAAGATATAAGGGGAGAGGGAGAGGGTAGGGGAGTGGACATAGGGACACAGAATGAAGGAAGGGTATGGAGGGAGAGGAGGAAGGTAAAGGATAAAGGTAATGGATGGAGAAAAAAAGGAGAATAGGAAGGTATATTAGTTTACGGTGTTGTGAAAATTTCTGATCCCAGTTCTCATTCTACTTCACTGCTTTAGTTGAGGAACGGAGGTCATATCCTGTCCTTCATCTTCTCTGGAACCCAGTTTGCCAAGAAAAATCCAATATTTTAGTACTTATTATTAGGTATTTTGTTTTCTCAGTACAAATAAAAATTACGAATTGGAGTCAGTGTAACTTAAATTTACTTAAGCTACTTGATCAAGAATTTTTTTTGACTTATAAAATTGAGTTAGTTTTACTTACATTTTTTTGATATGATCAGTTTCAACATTTTCTTTTTACTTTTTTTTAAAAACTTTTCTTCTAAAAAAACTTTTTTAAGTTAAATTAACTTATCTGGTTTTACAGTGCTGAATATGCACCCAGGTCACTTTCATGTAAAAGGCACAACAGCAGAGTCTTACAAGGTCAGGCCTGTAATGTTAATTATCCTCTCTGCACAAATCAGTTTAATAAAATATGGAACACAGACAAAGTTTTAGGTTGATCACACTAACCACACATCAGTACAGTCTGTCAAAACTATTTCTTCCCCTTGTAGTTCCTGCACACGTGAGTACTTTAAAATGAGCAGCTTCTGTTCATTTAAAGGTCCAATGTGAAACATTCAGGAGGATATAGTCTATATGTAGTAATGGAATATAAATTTCATAAGTATGTTTTCACTAGTGTATAATCAGCCGAATAAAGGAATTGCTGTGTTTTTGTTATTAATGAGTTTATCGGCTAGAGTCATATTCCCAGGTTCTCGCCAATGAACTATCTTAAAGCCACCAACCCAGAGAGTCTGTGTTTGACGCCTGCGAATGAGATTCAACAATCAACTATCTTTCTTGGCTCTGATTGGTTGTTTCCATTTAGGTTTCATTAGGAGCATGAGAATGAGCCAGAGGAACTGGATTTTTTCACAGATTATCTGTCTCATGATGAACTGTCAGCATATAGTGAAAGTTAAAGCAAATATGACAAAACGTTATTATTAATATTTTTGAGAGCAGCTTTAAAACCAGTAATGTCTCATTTTAGTTCAGTTTAATAAACCATGTAGAGTTAGCACTTTTCCAGAGGAAACTTCTACAAGTAAATAGATGATATTTGAATAATCCAAAGAATAATAAGAAAGTGGAGCATTTTAGCACTGAGGGAGTTGTTAGGAGGACCTTGATTCCTGCCTGCAGCCCTGCGCTTATTGATACTGGTTCTTATTAAATCATGCTTCTGTGCTTTGTCCTGTTATTTGAGTAAGAAAAGAAAAAACAATAACCAGTCATTAGTGATAAATGACTTTTATGTGGAGCGTTCTGTTTGTTTTCTGGTCCCCGTTGGGAGCGGAGCCAGAGAGTATCTCGTTTTTATACCTGATGTTTGTCTGATCAGAGTTTTCTTGCAGGAGAAACTGAAGCTGTGAGGGATTTTAAAAGGCAAAAAAACCAAACATCTGCCACGCTTCAAAGTCGACTTTGTGCCGTAATGATGTGACTTCAGGTTGTTCTCAGCCTCTGTTCAGACTTCCCAGGAAACCCACAGACGCTGAACGGCGGCTTTGACCGAACAAACTGCCTCTCTGATCAGGATGAAAGACTGTTTTTAGCGGCACCGACATCAAAGGCGAGAGGAGAGCCGCCGCCACTCGCCGCTGTCAGAGCCTTTCACAAGATTAAACAAAATCTGAAGCCATAAAAACAAGAAAACACAAGAGATTGATGTGGCTTTGATAGAAATGATGAGTTATCCTTCAGAGCACCACAGGTCGGAGGTTTGACTCAGTCACATTCTCTGCTGTGAGTCTGACAAAGCTAATGGCAAATATGAATAAATACATCAACAAAAACATGAATAGATGAATAAAAGAAAGCCAAAATAAGCACAACTTGTACTTCACCTGCTGCTGAAAAATAAGCCTTGATTCTACAACCATGCCTTATGGGTTATGGTTCCTGTGGTGCAACACCTCGAGCTAAGCAGTGTTACAGTTTGAATGTTGTGAAATGTTAAAGACTTCCGGGTGGACTCAAGTGGGAGGTGGGCCCCCCCAGAACCCCTCATGTTCAAAAAAACACAGCAAAAGTTCCCCCCTGGAAGCCCCTATGGTGGAGAAAACATGATCAAGTGCACTGTAGAAAATGCCCTGCCAAAAAGGCCAAATATTCTTCAAATATTCTATAATCAGATAATCTGATTTTCTTGTATTGAGCAAAAACAATCTGCCAGTGGGGTAGGCCAGGCTTGGCTAGCATAAAAATCTAACCACTGAAAGACTGTAATGTGCCTTATATGTAGCAAAAATGCCAAAGATTTAAGCTAATTGTCCTTGTTACAAACAATGAAAACTCAGTTATTTAAGATAGACTTTCTTAAAATAGGTATTTTGGTCTCTTAATTGTTCTAAATTTAAGATTAATAATTGGGAATAAATTCAACTTAAACTTCAGACAGTACCAACAGCTACTTCATTTCCAACACTGGGACCAGACCACTTTCTCTGAATCTGAGAAGTTGTGTGAGTGGTCTTACTCTTAAATTAATGAAAAAAATCTTGTTCCTCTGCTGGGATATTATATGCAAACCATTGTTGGAACTAATTACAGATTCAATCAAGACAAGACAAAGTTAGATAGATTTTCTTAAACAAAATTACTTTATTAATGCAAAGCATCCTTGACAAGATTATTTTTCCTTTTTGTAGTGTGTCCTGTAGGTTACTCATCCTAACCCTGACTAAGCTGTTTTATTCAGCTTTGTTTCATCCATGTTCTGCAAAATGTATTTCTGTGTGATACAATTACCTGAGATTGTGCTCATTGTGGGGATGTTGCAACTTGATGATACTGCAAAACATTACAACTTTATAAGCAGTGGTGTAGTGGGTCCCTCTAGAGGCAATATACTTCTATTTATTTATTTATTCTATCTATTGTAATTTATTTATTATTATTGATGCTCCCAATTTTTTTGTGTTATAAACAGTGACATGTAAGACTACTCTTGTATTTAGCTCACCCAGTGACAGTGGCACAGTGTCACAGTGTCACAGTGTCAGATTTCAGGGATCATTATGCCATGCCTTTGCCATTCTAGAAAAATGAATTCAGCTTGCAGAACACTATTGAATCTTGTGCATAGGAGAGGATTATACGGAGTTATACGCTGTATACCTGCGTATACCCTGCACTACACCACTGTTCATAAGGCAAGCTATGTGTGAAAACTATAGTGGCTAGTTGCTTATTATGTCTGTGTGCTGTTTGGTGCTGAGCAGGTAGTGTACAGTGGGTTTTTAGAGCTTTTTCTCTGAATACAGCTGCCTCCTGTGACCGAAGACGACACTATGAGGGCTTTCACGCTGGACATGTTGGATAAGGTGCTCATTATATTTTTGTTTTTTATCCCTTTATAATGCAGTTGCACTACTGCTGTTGACATTGTATCTAGTTGAGCTGAGCATTGGGATACATACATGCTACTATTTATAGGCATTTAAAAACCTCACGTCACATCCACATATTTCCCTTATTGTACAACTGTGTGTGACACAGGTGGTCAGAGGGTGGAAACTGGATACATTTAAAGGTCCAGTGTGTAACATTTAGGAGGATTTATTGGCAGAAATGGAATATAATATTCATAGGTATGTTTATAAGTATATAGTCCCCTGAATATAGGAATTGTTGTGTTTTTTCTTACCTTAAATTAGCCGTTTTTATCTACAGATGTCGTGGACTGCCTTCTGTGGCGTCCACCATGTTTTTACAGTATAGAACGGACAAACCAAACACTGGCTGTAGATTTACGTTTTTCACCGTAGTTTCTCCTTCATGCTTAGAACGGGAGGGTGAAACAAGGCATCTATACCGCTAGATATGATACCACTTAATCCTAACCACTGGTCCTGTAATATATGATTCAAGAAAAAAAACTAATTACGGTTATCTTTAATGGCGAGATTACATAGAAAAACGCAGTGGTGGATGTTCTGACCTGCGTCGTGCACTGACAAAACGCAGTAATGTGCATTTGGGGCTGATGTCTGATTGGTTATTCCTGTGGAATTCATTTGGACAGAAGGAATGATACACTATGTTACTGAGAAATGGGCAACAAGGACCCCCCTCCCCCCACAGTTGCGGTCATTTAGACAGGCAATTAGGCAGGGCACACATGAGGGTACTTATCGTCTCATTTATCGGTGTACAGTATATTCCAGACGCAAGTACAATTAATCAGATTGCTGACACAGAATAAGGCCTCTGGAGCCCCTGAGGGTCTTGGGCCCTGCTGCAGTTGCCTACTTTTCCCAGTTGTGATGATCGCTTTTGATCTTGTGATGTGAAATGTTTCTTTACCTTTACCTCCAGACTTAATGATTTATTTATTTTGTTTTGATTCATTGCATCTTGTATTTATGGCACATGCCCCACTGGACACCCTGCTGTATTTGAACCACATCTGTGTGGTTGCAGCTCCTTTACGTTATGGAGAGCATTTTCATAAATAAGTAACTTTCCTGTTGGTGATCCCACATTTCTGTGCTGCTATCTAACTCCACTTCCTCTCTTCTTCTCCTGTAGCCTCAGATGCCCCCTCATCTTCCTCCTCTTCCTCATCTAGTCTCGGAGGTTTCGTGGACTTCACTTTCACCCAGGAGCCTCAGGACACGGTGACGGTGCGAGGCGGCATGCTGCAACTCGACTGCCAGGCGCAGTCCGACACAGTGGCAGGACCTCCAACCATTACGTGGCGCAAGGATGGCGTGCTGCTGAGCGCGGTGGTGGATGACCGGCGGCAGCAGCTGGCTAATGGCTCGCTGCTGGTGCAGAACGTTGTGCACTCGCGACACCACCGGCCCGACGAGGGCGAATATCAGTGCCTCGCCACACTGGACGGACTGGGGAGCATTGTTAGCCGGATCGCCAAAGTCACTGTGGCTGGTAAGAGCTCTATTGTATTCTGTTCTAACACACAAATTATAGTTTGCTAAAAAGTACTGGCAGACAGTTACTAATTTATACATTTATCAGGTTTTAGCACAACTTTGAGATACTACTAATTGTATTAAACTGCCTGTGTGACTTGGCTGGTGTCTAAGACCTCTGCCCTTGATTGGTTCAGATCCTCCAAAACCCAAACTAGCTCTTGAAATAATATCTGATACAGGGAAATATCAGCTGTGGTGTCCCACAAGGCTCATGTTTAGGTCCTCTATTGTTATGCTCAAAGAAGAGGAAAGGAGAGAAGGAAACAAGAGGAGAGAGGAAGGGAAGTGAAGGAGAGGAGATTTCCTCATTCAGATTAACGTTTCCATGACACCTTGACCTGTCCTTGACAGTTTCAGTGGCCACACACACACACACACACACACACACACACACACACACACACTTAATATTGCTCAGCCTCCTCCATTTATATTACTGTTCATATTTATTTAATAGAACCAAAGTAATTCACCTGCAATGTAATTTAGTAAGTGGAGTGTGGCTTAAGATCAATACTGTTTATGGAAGACATTAATAGACAGAGGCACAGAGGCTTAAGTGCATCAGCATCACAAACAGACTGCACTGTCTGCACTGTGGGACAACATGCTGCATGACAGATCCTCACAATTCTGAGGTATTCAAATTTTATATTTACTCTGTAGGAAAAGTGTGTGAGAAACATTGGTGTTGGCTACGTTTATTTTCACTCATTTAGTGATAACATGATGCTCAACATGGACCCGAGGGACTCCACAAGAGCTTTTTCACATTCTGTGAGCACATAAAGTGTAGTGCAGTTTAGGAAGAGATGAGCAGCAGGTTAAGCTCTTACACAGTCACCCTGAAACACTGCTGGAAGGTGCCCTCACAATCTCTCTGGCGTCCCAGTATTTTCTTTAGCCCTATATATGTATCAGCAGGTTAAAAAGTATATTCTTCAGTAGATCTAGGGAGGGAAAATAGTTCCCTTTATGTATATTATTTGTTTTAGCTCTGAAAAGGTATTTTGAAAATATTTGCTGTGAGAATTTCTCCATATTAGTAAGATTGTATATGGATATTTAAGATTATTCTGATTGGTAAAAATGAATCTAAAATACAGATATAGACAGATAAGTGAGAGTTTTGTCAAACATGATGAATATTCAGGACTTTAAACGTGAGGTTAGACAGTTTGTAATTCAGACTCGCTCAAGTGACTTCTGTTTAGTTGGCTGATAGGAAGAGTAGCTTGAATAGCCTGAGCAACATGCTGATCAGAACCTGATAATGAGGTTCTGGATAACACACACAAACTCACTGTCACAGTGTGTGTATCAGCTGGTCGTCTATTTAGCTCGCTCAGCTCTTTTGTGTTTGAGTGTTTTGGTCTCTGGAGTGACTCTCATCCTCCCACTCAGTCAGAAGGATTACAGAGACAGGAGACCAGCAGCTGCAGCTCACAGGGAGGTTAGTGTGTGTGTGTGTGTGTGTGTGTGTGTGTGTGTGTGTGTGTGTGTGTGTGTGTGTGTGAGTGTGAAAGCGAGAGAGTGTCAGCAAAAGAATAAAATAAATAATATTTCAAATTCAAAGTCTAAGAAAAAACATTTTAGAAGTGGTCATGACACTTATCATATATCCCGATAAAAACCACCAGTGTATCATGGTGAATTTCCAATATCATGAATCGGGAAAATTGTGAATATTCTCACATGGTTTGACTTGAAAAAGCTGTCTAGCTCTCAGCATACAGTCCTTTAATGACTTCCTGATATTTTTTAAACAAGGGCAAGATTTAGCAGAGTCTTAGGAAGAACACACACGTAACTCCAACTCAAAAGTCCCACAAGCTCGAGTCAAGTCAAAGTGGAAACACCCCTGAGGCCGAGATGAGTCCGAGCCAAAACACACACAAAACCAAGAGTAGTCAGAGTCAAAACACCCATTATACGAGATAATAGAAAAATATATTTTACAAACTGTGGGATTTTGGCTGTAATTAAAGAGGTGACAGCTGAACCAATCATTACATTTTATGATCTGTCGGTAAAGTAATCAGGAATGGTGCTGATATTGTTAAATGTAAGTTGATACACTAACCAAGATTTCAGGACGCTGCCGTGGGCAGAATGTCAGAGTTGAACACGGACAACCCTTGAAAGTAACTTGCACATTAGCATTAAGAACCAGTTTAGTGGCATCTAGTGGCAGATGTGCAGATTGCAACTAACTGAACTCCACTCTGTGAAGTGTGTAGAAGGAGCTACAGTGGCCATAAAAATGCAAAAGGCCCTATCTATAGCCAGTGTTTGGTTTGTTCCTTCTGGGCTACTGTATAAACATGGCGGACTCTGCCTCTGTAGCTAGAAACCGCTCATTCCAAGCTGACAAAAACATAAATTCATCAATTCCAATTCTTATTTTCAGGTGATTATACACTAATAAAAACATACCTATGAATATTATATTCCATTTCGGCCCATAGATCCTCCTAAATGTTACACACTGGACCTTTAAAACATCACAAACCTTCATGTTCACCTAAAAGTACTCAATTTGCAAGCCTGTTGCTACCTCCCCATTGGTCAGTTAGTCACAGTAAATGTTTTAACCTATATCCACACCTGAGCTGAATCATGTGTGTTAAACAATACACACACATACACACGCGCGCACACACACACACACACACACACACACACACACACACACACACACACACACACACACACAAATACACACACAAATAATCCATCCAGATCCCAGTATTACATTGAAATATGAATCAGTTCTGCCTGCATGCCATTCGCAGACATACCTACACATACACACACAGTCGGCACACAACACATTACAAGGCAAAATGCTAATGAACAGCAGAGGCTTAGAAATTCAATTAGTACTCTGACTGTGTGTGTATGTGTGTGTGGGTGTGTGGGTGTGTGTGTGTGTGTGTGTGTAGAGATGACTGTAAACTGGGAATTAATTAGAAACACTGAACACTCAGATAGACAGAGAGAGAGTAAGGAAACAGAGGGATAATAATGATAGACAGAAGGTGAGCAGAGTGAGCATAGAAAATAAAACAGAGAATAAAGAGGAATAGAAAGAGACTACACTTGTAGGATGAGAGAAAGAAACAAATAATACACAGATGGATTACACACAAGATTGAGAGAATCAGGACAAAAAGAGAGTGAGACAGCAATTACCTTAAAAATATAGTCAGTAACCTAATCCAAGTATCACAATATTAATGTAACGTAACTTGAATACTGTGCATTACTTTTGGATTACTTCAATACCAAATATGTAAATAAACACAAGAGAAACTAGAGGCCATCTTAATGAATTGGCAATAAAATGAGTTTAACTGGAGACCCGAGTGGTGTTGTGAGACTCATAAAGTCTTGTTATGTGCGTGGTAATAACCTTTAATGTTCTTTCTTGTAAAATGTATTAACATATTGATATTTGCCTGTGCTCTCCCAGAAGTCAGAAGCTCGTAAAAATGCCAATCGACAATCAGATGAAACAATTTATATGTAAGGATATGTGGCCTGTTGTTGTGGTAAGAGTGAATGTCTTATCCTTTAGTGAAGTCCATAGACTGTATAATTAAAGCTTTTACATTGTGTTTTTTCCTGTGGTGTCCTACAGTCTTATTTAAGAGTGAACCTATTTGTGATGACACCCATTAGTTTGTAGAGTACCGTTTTGAAGCCTCGAGTTTGGCGTTTTGTTCGTAGACATTACAGTTTGTTGGAACCAGTGGAGGTGAATTACTGGGAGTTGAGCTGCTCTACTCGCCTGGTCACACACAATCTCATATCACAGACAAACTGAACACTGAAATATGTTTGAAACCATTTCAGATGAAAAATAGTCAACGCAGTAACAGAATCTGATTCATATTTGATCAGCACTGCTTAGTTTGATTTGATCTGAGTTTCTGACTCACTGAGAATGACCTGTCAATCACAAGGTAGCCCCGCCCTAAAGCATACCCTGCTTTATAGTCTATTTTATTCTAAATGGGACCATCATTTACTAAATGAACATCATGCTGTATGGAAGAAGACTGAAACTAGAGACTGAGACCATAAACCCATTAGGAAACCGTGACAGCCCTAGACATTACTCGTTATTGGAGTGATAAGGGATCATCCATCCCACTGAAAATGAACAAGAAGCCAAAAACAAAGCAAAAAAGTTGAACCAACATGGCAACATGCTTTACATTTGTAGCAAAATAAGTGTATGTTAGAATTATAATATCATTATTAGTTCATATTCTGGAAAATCTCTGTAATAAAGACTTATAAGTTTTATTCCTACACCTGCAGGTGGGCATATCGTCACCATCAACAGTCGCACTGAGCTGTCTCAGGCAAAAAGGCAAAAAGCATCTCTAACAGTCGATACTTGTACACTGAGCAGACATGTCTCCGCCCGCTCTCAAAATACTTTTGAGCAGATAAACATATTGCTTAACATCCAACATATTGAACAACTTTTCTTAGTAAGGCATGCACACACAACAGTTTAATGCTGACAAACATGGTTGTCTGATCCTGATCTGCACCACTTCACCTTGATATCCTGGTGTTCAGCAGCTTGGAGTTGCTCAATGAAATACCCACGAGAAAGACTGAAAGACACTTTGGGTTGGAGGCTTGAAGATAGTTAATTGTTGAGTCTCATTCTCAGGGTCCCAAAATATTTTTATAAAAATGACCTACTAAAGCTTTAAGTCAGCTATCTTTTTGTTTATAGCCTATCAATGGGAATGAGTGCAGGATTAATGTAGGCTGTTGCCAAGGAATATTTCTGTGGTAATGTTAACCAACGTTTCAGCTCCTCATCTCACGCTAAGGTCCATTGACCTCATAGTGCTCTTTCCCAACCACTTCAAATAAAACTCTCAGCTTCCTGAGCTCACAGCAGTGGAGGGAGAGACAGAACGGCCTTCAGTCTGTCCATTCCTAATTAGCCGTCAACTCTCTGAGGATTTGGACAAATCCCAATTAATGGCAGTGAGGAGGAGCGAGGTTCGACCCACAGAAGCAGATAATAATCGTTCCCAAGGCGAAGATTCAGCACAGGGGCGTCCCCAAATCCCTCCGCTGCCATTGCCTGTTTGCTGTGATTTGCATGTTATTATCCATCTGAGTTATTTTGGTTCTGTTTGTCTAATGAGGATGAAAACAGCAGGGAGACAACAGCCACTGTCACCAAGGAAATTGAAGATGTGGCGTTGGATATTCAGGTTGCTGGTTTGAATCCTAAGCTGGAAGTTAAAGTGAAAGCAGAGGATTGAAGTCTTTTTCTTTTTCTTCTTCCCACTCCTTTTCTTATTTCTTCCTCTCCTCTCTTCCTCTTCACCTTTCCATCCTGATGGTTTGACCCATTTCCCTTCCTCTCTGAGTTTCCTCCATGCTCTGCTGCTTTCCTTCATCTTGGTTTATTTCATTCTGTGTGATCAGAATCTGAAGATCACTGTAAACTCTCTGCTCCGCACTTGGGAGTTCAATCTGTTTTACCAAATTCTGGCAACATGTTCTCAGATCAGTTCCAGTGAAAACATGATGCCACTCTGATTCATAAAATTATAAAAATCTACCTTTTTCTGCACTTATTACATAACGTTTGTCTTAAAGACTAACTAAAGCCCCAAACCACTTTTTTCAGCTGAAAACCTCTGTATATGGGTATTTATTAGTGTTGTTGATCAATTCAGTTCCAATTCTTGACATTTTTGTATATTATATTTTAATTCTACATACTGGGCTGTATATATGCACACCAACCGCCCTCTACTGGTTAAAACACGGCTATTGTGATTGGATTTCGTGAATGGCTTATCTGAAAGGCAGATGACAACCCCTTAAAAAAAACAGCGCAGACTGTGGCTTGCTCTATAGAGTTAGCCTCTAGCTCACGTAGCAGACAGAACCTTTTTCAAAAGGCAGTGAATGTGCTTCTAGTGACTGTAAAAGCTCCAGCTGACTCTCTGTGTTTCTAGTTAAAATGCGTAGAGTCTAATGGCAGCTCCTCATGGTTGGTTAGCTTGGTTAGCTCTGACTACAGGCAACTTTACTCCTGCTACACTCAGCAGTACTCAGTCTGTCACTCTGGTTGGTGTTTCCTTCTGTGTCACACACTCTATGGCCATGCCCCCTATATGATTCTCTCTGCTGGGAGGGGTTTAGTTACACTTTAAATAGTTATGTCTAACAGGCTGGTTACACTGAACAGGTAATGTATGCTGTAACAATAGGCTTCCACTATAGTCAGTGTAACTGGCTACACCCGGGTGTGAGACCACCATGTAAGTGGCGCATACACGTCATGGAGTTCTGTTCCACAAATATACAAATAGGTCTTCTATTTATATTTTTTTTACGTGAGGTGTGTGCAGCTTTTACACAGAAATGTGTCATAAAGTGTCTATATTTTCTGAAAAAAGAGATTGAAACAGCAGACTGAATAACTATTTAACTTTATCCCATACAACCTACTGTGGTCTGTAGATATTACTTTACCCGTATTTCACAAATGCTGTGACGAGTTGAACTTTCACATCGCTGTACTGGGTCCCAAAGCTGAAGACACAATCCCACACATTCTAAGACAAAAGCTCACCGTCACACACACTAGACAGTCACAGATGGGTTGTCATAGTTTATAATGATGCAGCGCAGTGAGACGAGCATATATAATGCAGGTCTATTAATCACTAAAACTCACTAACCTTGTAAGGTCCTCACATCCTAAGTACCAGTTCTGTAAGGGTTAAGATTTAGAGTTGGTAATGAGCTTAAAATATTTCTTTTAAGATTTATGAATTTGACATCCAGCAGATATGGGGAAACATTAGGTTAAGCCTTCAGGAATTCAAACTAAATCAATACAGTCTCTTCACAAGTGACAAAAACAAGCACTTTTGTTTCATGTTAGTGTGTGTGCAGCTGCAGGCAGCAGTATGATCCACATAGGAACAGACAGCAGCAGAACTTATATAAGACACACAATCCAAATTCACATCAGCATTGCCATCACCTCCGATCTGTGTGATGTCACAGCTGCTCAAGTCCTTGCCGGCGCGAGGACGCACAAACCTGCATCCAGCGGCGGCTCGCCTCCGAATCAAGAGTCAAACTTTTCTAATGTTACAGAACCGAAAGAGAAAGTTAGAGTTTGTGTCAGAGAAGTTTCCCGGCTGCTTGTGTGCCGAGGTAAAACCGAGGAAGCAGAAAGTGATTCAAACCAGCATGAAAACAAAATAACAGAAACACAAAGTGCGAGGAAAATCAGACACCAAAATGCATTTATTTTTCTGCCTCTTCCGTGGATGAAAGGTCTTCATGAGGATTCATATGCCGACAGATATTTGGGACTCTAGGGATTTGGAACTTGTTCAAAAAGACACTTTAAATTTTAAAACACGAGCAACAATGTAAAAAATAAACACTGCTGGCTGTCAAAAAGTTTTTTTTAACATAAAGCAAACTAATTTCAAATTTCTCCAAAAACCTCCAAAAACCACACATTTGAATCTGGCTTGTGAACTTTGGTTTTTGTTTCTTCCTCTAGATTAAAAAAGACCTGCAGAGCGGTCTGTCTGTCTGTGAAAATGATTTAACGTCAATTAACTTTGCACCAGCATTGAGAAGCAAGTCACAGTGCACGTCAAATACATTTTCCAAATGATGGTTTCTGGCATTTTAGGTATGAATGTTTAAGTGTTAATTTTTCTGATCAGTTTGGTTTTAATGAGTTATTTGAAGCTATAAAAAGAGAGTTTAACTCGTGATTGAATTGGCCAGGCATATGGGCTGAATCACGATACCACAGCGCCAACCCTGATCACTACTGTGCAGAGCCCGTATCCAGGATATTTTGGTTTAATTTTTGCAGTAGGAGGAAGTGAAGATGGAACGTCTATCTTTTATACGTTGATGGTTGGAGCAGGTCACTCATGTGGTCTGCTGTGACCTTTTTGACCTGTGTCTCTACATGCTGGAAATATTTCTCGCCACCTTCCAGTAGTAGTGACTTCCCAGAGTCTTGTCAACATGAGGGACAGGCAACCGGGGCAAACTGCACAGAAGTGCTAGATGGACGTATTTACCACAAATACAGTTTATAAAGTATTATTTGTGTTCCCTTCAGGGAACCCCTAGAAAAGGACTAATGGGCATCTCAGACAATCCTGCCTCAAACACTGTTATCAGCGGGCACTTTTAGTTTCTCATGCAGGTCTAAACTTTGTGGGTTTAGAAGAGAGTGGCAAGAATAACAGAACATTTCAGATACCCTGCCGTGCAAATATTCACATTTAATCATTTAAACCTGAACTGAAAACCTCAGAACAACATCAGCACAAAGAGAGGAAAATAAACTTCTCTTTATTGAATTCCTGACATTTTTGCAGATCTGCCCAGAGGCCCCGGCAGCCATGTTGAAATTAAAACATAACCACACGAGCTTCAGACGATAATATAACCCGGCTTTCCAGTGTGAGAGCGGAGTGAGGCTGGCAGTCAGCAGGGTCGTGCGTTTATGTGGCTACAGGCTGTTTGTTGTTGAAGTCAATCTGATCAGACAGGGAACGGCGTGGGCCCTAAAACAGCAGGCTGGACACTGCCCGTCCACACTCGCCCCGTCTCTCTGTCCTTCCATCTCTCTGTCTGACTTTCACCCGTTTCATCCTGCTGTTCGGGGTCCAACTCTTTCTCTCTCTCATGTCTCCACCTGCTGTGCCTCACCTCTCTTCCTGTCCCGTTTTTGTCTTTGTGATTATATTCTTCTTGTTGACCTGAACATCCTCTACTGTCTGCTCACATCTTCTTCCTCACCTCTAATGCTGCTGTGTGTCTTTTCTGACGCAGAAGCACTATTAGTACTGACAGCAGTGTTAACCGCTGTACTGACAGCAGAAGTTTTAGTAGTTGTAGGTGCACAAATAGCACTTGGTAAGGATTGTAGTGGAAGCAACAGTACTGTAGTAGTGATATGAATAGTGGCATCAGTAATAGTATCATCAAATTATTGATACTACTTGAGGAAGTAGCTGTGTAATAAGTGGAATAATGTACAGTAAAGCAGTCATTGTTGTGAATTACACCCCTTCAAGGTGATTAAAGTCCTGTTGCGGTTTATTTGGCAACAATGGCCCGTTCACTGTACATTATCCCGTACTTACATGGATACACACCACAAACACAGGTCTCACTAAAGTTCAACTACTTCAGTTCATTTTAGTTCAGTTCAGCACAGTTCAGTACAGTTTAAAACAGTTCAATTCAACTTCCTGTTGCTGCTATGGTGTTGTTGTGCAGTGGTGGCTGTTTTAGGGGCAGGGGCAAAAAACCCCTGAAAAGGTCCTTCAGCGCGTAGAATGTTCAGATGCATTTCTGGTGAAACGACTTAATCAGCGTTAGGATTAGCACCCTAAAGGGCACTTTATCATGTTTTAAATACCATAGGGGCATCCAAGTAGGAACAATCAATGTACTTTATATTTACACCCAGTGAATTCTATCAATACTCCATTTTTCTGATCCTAACCCTCTCCCCCTCTGGTTTCCCTCCAGGTCCACTGAAGGTGGTTGTCCCCACTGAGTCAGTCTCTTCGTACCTCGGCGACACCGCCCTGCTTCGCTGCGAGGTCTCGGGCGACCCGACGCCTGTCATCCGCTGGCAGAAGAACCGGGAAGATCTGCCGCTGACCTTTGAACCCGACTCCCGTCTGGCTGCGCTGCCATCTGGCTCGCTGCAGGTCAGCCGCGTCCAGCCACCAGACTCGGCCACGTACCGGTGTCTGGCTGACAACCCTGGCAGCACCAGGACTGGGACCGACGCCGAGCTCCGAGTGCTACCAGGTAACTGATCGAACAGTGATGTACTGCGTCACATGGCTGCCTGGTTTATTGATCTATTGGTTTATCACACATGTTCATTTGAGGTCCACATGCTTCCAATCCATTTATCAATAAGTAGGGTGAGGAGCCTAAGTTAGTATCATTTATCTGGTTTCAGTGGACAGTTTTGGTTTTATTATTTATTCATTTTTCATTTATTTGAAATGTTGTTTGTATTATCATGAATAATACCTTCAGAAGGGGCTGATTTAGATTTCCGGTCTTGTTACAGTGAAGTACTGCACTAGCAGTTTTACTTAATGGTAAGTTCTGCTTTTCCAGCAGTCATCACTTTGTCAGGTAGTAATTTTTGTTCATTTCCTCCCAGTGCTGGGTGTCTCATTTTAAAATGAAATGTGATGTAATGAATATATAGAGTGTAAGATGTGATTTTAATAATGTGTCTGGGCTGAGAGGAAGCAGCCTCTCATCAGTCTGCGGGGAGTCTGTCAGCCACCGATGTTCCATACACTGTCCAATTATACGAGTCCATACGCTGTCCACTCCATCACTCAGATTACAGCTCAGGTTAGCTCACTCTCTCCCTGGTTAAACACCACTTTGACTCCCACTTGTGAAGTGTTCCTTTGCTCGATCCCAGCGGGAGGTTCCCCAGATCTTCAGCAGGATAATCACACGTGGGCTACTTTGCATATTAAACTCCCCACACACCCTCACATACTGCAGAAAATACTTTAACAGTTTTTTTTTTGTAGTTAATCCTTGTCTGGACAAGTGCCCCCTGGCTATTACATACTGCATTATGTAAAGTAAATCAATAAATTATTCATTAATCAATAAAAAATAGAAAATACAAGATAAAATACATAATGGGAGAAATGACAAAATAAGTATATTATACATTTGATTATAATAAAATATATAATTCCCATTATCGGCCGATTATCTGACCCGATAATTATCATGCCCCCTAAAGGATTTCTGTAGTTTTGTTTCTTTCAGGCTCCAGAGGATCTTTCAAACATTTCCTAAATCTATCACCCACAGAGTTTCCAGTTTTATCTTGTTCACATTGATCTGTATGAAGTTTAATAGATCAGATGATAAAGGTTTCATGATTTTTTTCTCCATAAAGATTATTGTTAAAAGGCCAGCACATTTTTGCAGCCTGTTGCAGTGCAGATAGATTCCTGTGACATGGTTTCCACTGTTTCTGTTTCTCTTTGATCTATTTGAAGTTTTAATGGAACAGATTAAGCTTTAATGATTTTGACTCCATAAAGATTTTATTAACTTTGACTTTATAAAGTTTTTAATGGATGGAACTGTCAGAGGAGCTCAGAGGTCAGAGGTTAGAGATTTTCAGATGGCACCATCTGATTACCATGTGACCTTTGACTTCTGTCCTACTTTCTCTGTTCCAGTAGCTGTGAGTCTGAATAAACCAATCAGATTAATGTACTCAGGTTGTCTTACATCAGTGCAACAACATGGTTCACACAAGGTTTACTGAAGAGTCGTGATTGGCTAATTTCTGCCATTTGGAGCTCTTCAATGGATGGCCTTGAAACTGCACTCATCAGTATGAATTATGCACAACTGTTGGAAAATGTCTGGTTCTTTGAGAGACAACTGTACAAGCCTATGGACATAGCCACTCACGTCTCTAAATATGAAGCTAGAGCCAGCAGCTAGTTAGCTAGCATAAAGATTGAATCAAGAGGAAACAGCTAGTGTGGCTCCGTCCAAAGGTAACAAAATCCTCCCCCCAGCACCTCTAAAGCTCGCTGATTCACATGTACTTGGCTAGGATCACCATTTTTCAAGTCCTGAACCTCTGTATCCCCAGAGCAGGTACTCACTGACTGTGCCACTGAGAAGACAGTTTTCGACACACCTTCTCAAAAAGAGGCGTTGACATCACGCGTGGAAAGTGGAAAATGTTTGTTGAAAGCTGTTGTTTTTGTCTTGCTTGTTTGTGTTTATGACATGAAGGCAGTTTTTAATTGCGAATTAAACTTGAAGGTTTTTAGGTGACTCATAGTTAAAAAGAAAAAAGTGGAAGTTTAATTAATATAATTCAATTCAATTCAATTCAATTTTATTTGTATAGCGCCAATTCATAACAGAAGTTATCTCAGGACACTTTTCAAATAGAGCAGGTCTAGACCGAACTCTTTAACATTAATTACAGAGACCCAACAGTACCACCATGAGCAAGCACTTGGAGACAAGGGCAAGGAAAAACTGCCTGTTAAAAGGCATAAACCTAGGACGGATCCTCCGGCTCTAGGTGGGTGGTCGTCTGTCTCGACCAGTTGGGGTGAGAGAGAGAGAGAGAGAGAGAGAGAGGCAGAGAGAGAGAGCGAGAGACAGACAGACAGACAGACAGGTGCATAGCAACAACAGTATTTGCAATGGCAATCTAGCAGGACCATGGCAGGAGGCTCCACCAGGATCGACAAGAACCTGCGAGACGAGAAAGCACAAGAACTCCGGGGAAGAAGTGAAGTTAGTAACATGCATAAATGGAACATGAATGAGTGCAGAAAGAGAGAGGAAGGGAGGAGCTCAGTGCATCGTGGGAAATCCCCCGATAGTCTAGGCCTATAGCAGCATAACTAAGGGATGGTTCAGGACTCACCTGATCCAGCCCTAACTATAAGCTTTATCAAAGAGGAATGTCTTAAGCCTACTCTTGAATGTGGTGAGGGTGTCTGCCTCCCGAACCACAACTGGAAGCTGGTTCCACAGGAGAGGAGCTTGGTAACTGAAGGCTCTGGCTCCTGTTCTACTTTTAGAGGAACCACAAGTAGCCCAGCATTCAGAGAACGTAGTGTTCTAGAGGGGTAATAGGGTACTATGAGCTCTTTAAGATATGAAGGGGCCTGACCATGAAGAGCTTTATAGGTGAGGAGGACGATTTTAAATTCAATTCTACATTTTACAGGGAGCCAGTGCAGAGAAGCTAGTACAGGAGAGATGTGATCTCTTTTTCTAGTTCCTGTCAGTATTCGTGCTGCAGCGTTCTGAATTAATTGGAGCGTTTTAATGGACTTATTGGGGCAACCTGATAATAAAGAGTTGCAGTAATCCAGCCTTGAAGTAACAAATGCATGGATTAGTTTTTCTGCATCTGTCTGTGATAGGATGTGTCTAATTTTTCTAATATTACGTAAATGAAAGAAGGCGGTCCTAGAGGTCTGCTTTATGTGGGAGTTAAATGACAAATCCTGATCAAAGATAACTCCAAGATTCCTGACAGTGGTGCTAGAGGCCAAGTAAATGCCATCTAGAGTAACTGTATCTTTAGACAGTGAGTCTCTAAGGTTTTTGGGGCCAAGAACAAGAATTTCGGTTCGAGTTTAACATCAGAAAATTGCAGGTCATCCAGGATTTTATGTCCGTAAGACATGTTTGTAATTTAGATAATTGATTAATTTCATTGGGTTTGATTGATAGATATAACTGCGTATCATCTGCATAACAGTGAAAGTTAATGGAGTGATTCCTAATAATGTTGCCTAAAGGGAGCATATATAAAGTAAATAGTATTGGTCCAAGTACAGAACCTTGTGGAACTCCATGACTAACTGTAGTATTTATTGAAGATTCATCGTTAACATGTACAAACTGCGAGCGATCTGCGAGCTTCAAATGTAGAAGCCCGTGGACACCACTCATGTCTTTAAATCTGTATCTAAGGCCAGCGGCTAGGTAAAAGTCTGTCTTAAAACAGTACTCACATGCTAAATATGTGCACTGAAAGTCGCAGTAATTTTTATTCATGTCTATAGTTGTCTGTTAATAGAGGCTGTTAGTGTAAGAGATGGGGGACAAAAGTTTACAGAAGCTAATACGAGCCTTTCTAGCATAAAAAGTCTCTCTTTCTGTTACTATCCCTCCACTGCAGCTCCACAAGGGCTAAAATATTAGCCTGTGCCAGTATGAACAGGAAGAATGATTACAATGTCGAAAATCTGCTCAGTTTATGATCCAGTTGGAAAATAAGCGGAGCTATCCTTTACATTCTGTCTTATGCTCCTGGGCGAGCTAAAGCTAGAGATTAAACACTGTAGAAACCTGATGAAACATTTAGCAGTTTAAATCAGTTCACTTTCACGTCAGCTGATATGGCCTCTCTTTCCATTGCCTTGACAGCTGAGGCTCATGGGTATTCTAGCATTTAAAGCCATCCAACTCCAGAAAATATTGTCACAGGTGGATACAGAAAAGTGCAGCACAAGATGTACATTTGTGCTTTTTAAAAGAGCAACTCTTCAGTTTGATTAGTTTTTAGTTTACACATCTGTATTCACAGATCCACTAAAAGATAAAATACAGTAGCAAGATCAGACACCAGCAGCATATTAACAGTCCTGTTGGAGGCTAAAAGAATCCAGTGGCTGCAGGGAACTGACTTCAATGTTTGTAAAGTGAATGTATGATTCAATAACTGTATTCGGAGACACATTAAAGGGACAGCTCACCTTCTGAAAAAGGAGAGCAACCACAAAATACATACAGACATAAAATATGGCATAAACAACTTTCCGTACTTGCAGGTTTAGAGATTAGTTTTCTAGTCAGGGAGCATCTGGAAATTGATTAAAATAACCAATTACCCTATAAATAATGTATGTTGTCCTGGAAATTATTATTATTATTTTTAATAACTTATCATGTGCTGTGGCCAGAATAATGTTAAGTTAGAGGAAAGCTGCTGTAGATCTTTTTCACAGCAGCCGTTTTGACCTGAAACAGTCGGATCAACACAGGTATTACCAATTAAGCTTCAGTTCCATTCAGGTCAGATAGAGTGAGAGGGTGTGTTGGCTCAGTGGAAAGGCTCCGCTACACTAAATGGAACGAAGCCCTAATTTGTATCATTCATAACCCCTGTGTTTACCCTACTGTTTGCGTCAAAAAACGGCTTTGATGAGAACAGACAAGGATGCCACGAAAGCGAGCTAACACCCATAAATGCTGACCACTGTTTGAGAGTAAGTGCTGTCCTGTACTGTGAGGAAAACCCACTGACATTTCTACATGAGTGTCCTCCTCCTCCTCCTGCTCCTCATTGTGATGCGAGTGGCGTTGGTGTGTCATCTGATTTGCTGACAGCCTCCTTTGGCGGCGTGTCTGTGAAAACATTAAAGGAGTCACACTGCCGCTCAGTGATTATCTCTGTGATCCCTCGCTCTTTACTCTTCCCTCTGACCAACCAAAAAAAAAAAAGAATTCTGCTGTGTGGACATTTTTCCCAATCCTCCTTCCTCTTTTGTCTCCTGGCGTTCACTGCTCAGGTTTCTGCTGATTACCCTGCTTTCTTTTTCTTCTCTTTGCTCCTGAATCCTGAGGTCATACAGCTTTACATCTTATTTATTGTTTGTGACAGATCTTCCCTGCTGCAGGAAACACATCTTATGAAAATTGATTGCATTTTGATGGAATTTAGTAGTTGTTGATATCAAATTTTAAATTTACAATATCAATGAAGCATTTTTAAATCAGTCAAATTTACAGTGAGATATAAACATCAAGCGTAGTGTTTTTCTTTAAGTTTCTTCCGAAAATGTAAATCAGCCCAATCACATTGATTTCAGGCTGAAGAAATGAGGTGAAATGACTAAATCCTACAGAGGATTACCAGAAAATGTCTGCTTGAAGGTGTGTGTGCGTGTATGTGTGTCGTGCCGTGGGGCGTGTTGATGTAACTTCCTGTCTGCCGAAGAAAATCGTCTCGTCGTTCTTTGAGAACCTTCCAGCCCTCGGGCCCAACCTGAGGGCGACACAACCTGACCCACTGCAGGAGAGAGAGAGAGAGAGAAAGAGAGTGTGTGCGTGTGAGTCCTTAGACGAGATCTGATAGAAAATCTGAGTGTGAAAACATGAAAGCTTCGACCGATGTCAACTTTTCAAAAAGTTAGTGCTGAGATATTTTCAGGATTCAGACAGCCAATCATCTGTCTGAGTGACATCATCCGATGACTGTTGCCACATCTGGCTTGAAATTCAGATCCAGATGATTTCTTGATATGTATTCATGCACTGTACCTTGTGAGGCTTTGGTACCAGGTTCCTCCTTGTCTTTCATTGTATTTCAAAAACTGGGACTTTTTGCAGTGTGTTGAACATGTCGTAGCTGTGCTCCTTGATCTTTTAAAACACTGTTAGGCAGTGTCTTGTATCCTCATTTCTGCAACACACTGAGAAATCTTCTGGTCTATCCTTTGGTTTCTAACTGCTGACTCCAGCTCCCTCTGAACAGCTTCCTCTTCTCAAATCCTAATGAGGGCCTGGAAGTCTTTGTTAGCGGTGTCATTTCAGCACATGCCCCAAAACAACATATGCTTATGTTCAAGTGACAAAGCCTTCTAACGGCCACAGTAATTAAGGCTGCTGTCAGTGTAGAGTAAAGGAGCAGGGTTCCCACATGTCCTGGAAAACATGGAAAACCTGGAAATTTAGCATTTGTGCTGGATTGATCATTTGATTTTTGCACAGGGTTTCCTAACAAAAGGCAACATTAGGTTCTTTTAACCACATCCCCTAACCATGAACAATTGTATGTTCTTGTTACCATGACAACAGAGATCGGATAATCTTAAAACCACTTACTTAATTTAACCCAAACCACCACTTTTCCCTAATGCTAACCAAGTTGTTTTTGTGCCTAAACAGAAACTGCTGTCCTTTCAGCACCAAGGACAGCGACAGTCCTCGTCATAAATGGGCTTTCTGTCTGTAAAGTGGACCAACAGGTTTCAGTAGCCTATATAATCAACAAAGGGAAATCCGTTTAATATTTATTTATTCATTTATTTCATCCCCTGCCATAGGATTTACACAGTGAGAGCACACAGTGAAGCTGTGGGTCTAAAGTTCACAGTATAAAGAAAGTAGAATGTAGGGCTGCACAATATGGAAAAAGTTAGTTCAACTCAAACTATTGGAGGAAACCGACTTAATTTAAATTAATTTCATCAAGTTGAATTTTGCTAAGTTTTCTTCCACTAAAGCAAATTAGTACATTACCTGCAAAAACAGTGGACAATTAAATAAAAACAACTTATCATTAATTGATATTTATATGTTAGCCAACTCATAATTAATGATATAAAGTCAACTTCAAGAAAATGAGTCAGTGGAACAAACTGGAATCTCGAATACTTAAAATAGTGCACACTTTTGAGGACACTAAGGACAGCAACTGATTTATTACTTCAGCAATTCATTTTGGAGTTAGGGTTAGTGCATGTGTTTTTAAATGAGTTCTTTTGGAGGAATAAATTATGTCTCTTCTTTTATTAAGATGTGTCGTCGGGTTTTACAGTGTAATAGGATAATAGAATAAAAGCACCCATAAAGGTTTTTTCCATGCATATCTTTGGAATAAGATCTGCTTATTTTGTATTTTTATATTCTTGATGTTTTGAGTTGATTATTTAGGTTGTTGGACCTGATGATATGTTCTGGTTGTATAGGTTGGATTTTGTATTTTGGGTTGGTCTGCTTTTTTTTGTTGTCTTTTTGTATGTGTGTTTGTCTTTTAGTTATGTTGTTGTGAATAAAAAAAAAGGGTAACACTTTATAATGAGTACACACTATTAAGCCTTAGTTAAGCTTGAATAAATACTGAATTCATCATTTATAACGCATGAATACACATTAGTATGTAGTTTATAAACACAGTTTAAAATGTTTTATTCATCATTGATAAGCACATTAGTTATGGATTAGTAAATACTGAATTCATCATTTATAAAGCATGATTCTGCTGTAAATAGTCATTACTATGTGGTTTATAATCACAGTTATAAATGTTTTACTCTTCATTGTACTGTACATTTCTGCATGCACTTGCACATCCACTATTCAGACATGTATTAATGATTAGTGACTGTGTTAGCAGATGTTTATTCATTTTCTAATGATGGCCTATAAACAGTTATTAATGCAGGAATTCACAGTTACAAAGCACTTACTACTCCTTAATTAAGTATTTTGCACGAGCTTATCTAAAGTGAGCACTATCTATGGCTTATTAAGGATTTACAAATGAGATATAAAGGCTGACAATGCCTCGAGACTCACAAAATGTTCAGTTATCTTAACAGACAAAGGAGAGAAACAACACAAAGGGATATAGAACATATTGTATTGATATTTACTGCAACTTCGCAACATATCGTATGCAGCTTTGTAACTGCCTCAATTCATGAATTCCTGCATCAATAACTGTTTATAGGCCATCATTAGAAAATGAATTTGTTTTTATAGAACATCTGCTAACACAGTCACTAATCATTAATACATGTCTGAATAGTGGATGTGCAAGTGCATGCAGAAATGTACAGTACAATGAAGAGTAAAACATTTATAACTGTGATTATAAACCACATAGTAATGACTATTTACAGCAGAATCATGCTTTATAAATGATGAATTCAGTATTTACTAATCCATAACTAATGTGCTTATCAATGATGAATAAAACATTTTTAACTGTCTTTATAAACTACATACTAATGTGTATTCATGTGTTATAAATGATGAATTCAGTATTTATTCATGCTTAACTAATGCTTAATAGTGTGTACTCATTATAAAGTGTTACCAAAAAAAGTTAGATAGTTTGGCCTACACAGAGCCCTGACCTCAACCCATATAACACCTGCCAGACCTGCTCACTCAACATCAGAGCTGGACCTCACTAGCGCTCCTGTGTCTGAATGGGAGCAAATCCCTGCAGCCAGGTTCCAACATTGGCTGGGAAGCCGGAGGAGTGGAGGCTGTTGCAGCAGCAGATGAATCACCAACCATTGTCTTATAATGACACATTAATGAGTTTCTCCGAATATTTACCTCATCTCAGCTCTTCAGTCCCTGCTCTCTTTTTGCCTCTCGTCTTTCAGAGCCCGGGGTGAGCAGGAACCTCCAGTTCCTCCAGCGTCCATCCAGAGTAACGGCTCTGCTGGGAGCCGACGCCGTGCTGGAATGCTCCGCCTCCGGATACCCGACTCCGACCATCCAGTGGAGGAGAGGAGAGGAACTGATCCAGAGCTGGTCTGTTTGTTTGACTGTCTGCTTAAATGTATTTATATTACACACAACCCCAAATAATCCAGCCTTAGGGTATCGTTTTGCACATTACAGCCCCACATGGCCCAGTCATTAGTGTAAGTCTAGTGATTATATATTGTATTTTTCTTATTGTCAACAAATCCCCCCAAAAAGCAACAATACTAACAGCTATTATGTGCCCTTGTGTGTGTATTATTAGCTGTTGCACTGACTGATGTTCCTTCATTACCACAAACACACACTGTAGTTTATTTTGATCCTACACACACCGTCCAGCTGCCCAAAATACTCACTAAAGCACCAAATGTGGATAAATCCACTGCTGGATAAAAAAAACTGTAGTGGCCAGCTGTTTTAGGATATATCTACTAATATTTACACTCTCAGTATCAATGGGGAACCTGGGGGACACCCAATATCCATTCATCTTACTTTAGGAAGTAAGTTATCAACTGATAAAGCAAACATGCAAAAAAATAAACAAACTCACTCTTCCTCCCTCTGTAGGAATAAGAAGTACTCTCTGCTGGCGGGCAGTAACCTGATCATTCGGAGCGTCACTGACGATGACTCGGGCGGCTACAGCTGCACAGCTACCAACAAGAACCACAATATCACCGCACACGCAGAGCTGAGTGTACTGGGTGAGTGTTTTGGGGCATTTATTGTCTTTATTTTGATAGCGAACAGTAGAACGGTGACAGGAAACAAGGGGATAGAGAAAAGAGAGGGAAAGACGTGCGACAAAGGTCCCCGGCTGTTGTGATTACATGCTTGATGTCTTAAAACACTAGGCAAAGGGGACTCCCCCCACCTAAACCTGATTCTAGCACCAACCCTGAAACACTCTCATTCCATAAACAGACTCGACTAAATGTCTCTCTAAACTTACATAAATCCCCTACTGCTGCAACGAATGATGATTTTCATTATCGATTAATCTGGTCCATAAAATGTCAGAACATAATGAAAAGTGATGCTCAGAGCCCAAACTGGTGTACTCAAATGTCTTGTTTTGTCCTCAACCCAAAGATATTCAGTTTACTGCCATAGAGGACTAAAGACAGTAGAACAGGTTTTTCTTAAAAAATGACTCAAAACGATCAATTGATTATCAAAATAACTGTCGATTAATAATGAATCTACTAGTTGAATAATCAACTAATCGTTTCAGCTCTAAAATCTCTCATAGAAGTACAAGAACACACACTTCGGTGCTCAGTGTTGTGTGGAAAATGAAAGAATGAAGCAGTGTCACTTCTCAAAACTCTCGAGGGGAAGAATAAAAAAAATTTAAAAAATCCTGGACTGGAAACTGTTAACAGCCTGACATCCCTGAAACGATACAAATAAATAAAATAGAATAAAAAATGGTCCACCATTCCTCCGCTGTCTGCTGAAACGCTCTCAGGGACAGAGCACCACGTCCAGAATCAAATGCAGCCGTGAAATATAAAATCGGAGCCGTCTGTTTGCTTCAGGAGGTTTTCATAAATAAAATATGTTTGTATTTACTGTGTGACTGCTCCTCAGCTGCTGCATTCACACTGAAGCTGCTCGTGTATTCAGACTTCTGAACAGCAGCTGATTGTTGGTTTGGTTTGAAGCAAACACTCAAAATATATTTTTGCTGTAATATTATTTGATTTCCATTAAAATACTGTGATATTTCACCATAAACCAATGATGTTATTTTCGCCGCTAATAATGCATAATAGAAAACACACTTTTCCTGCATAGTATTCCTTTTAAGCTATAAGCTAAGCATTAGCTGTATTTATGCAGGGATGAAATGGCTCAAATTTCCCTACCAGCATTTTGGCTTAAAAAGCACAAGGTTGAAACTGATTTTCATTCTGGTTAGATTGAATAGAATGTGTACAGCCATGCTCTGTGGGGATCTCACTGCGCATGAAGTCACTCACCTTGTCACTAGCAGCAGCTCAGGAACAGTGCTGGGCTCTGACACAGTTTTGTCCAGAATTGGGTCACTGGTCGTATTACGCCTACTGGCCCAAAAATCTTTTTCCCAGTCAGTACAAAAAAAACATCAGCTGTCACTGACAGTAACGATGAATTCATTTGCCAAAACAGAACAGTCCAACATGAGTCCAAAGTCTCGAGGAGCTGTAACAACAAATTCTTTTTGTGCCATTCATGTTTGTGGGCAGTCAACAGGAGGTCAGCCGCCTCAGCCAGACAGGGTGTTCAGATCAAAAACAGCCCATTAAAACCATACAAGGGGGGGTTGTATTGGTGGTGTCATACTGTGTAAAAGCTATTGAAACGTTTTACTTCAACAATTTTAAGTAATACTAACTCAATTCTTTAAGTTAAAAAACGTTCTTTATCAGGTAGCTTTAGTTATTTTAAGTGACACTGGCTTCATTTTGAAATTTCTATTTGTGCTGTTACAAAATACCAAGTAATTAATCAGGAATGTTTCTGTAAATCTAAAAAACTTGTAAAGTGTCACTTAAAATTAGAAGTAACAGCTGCTTAATCAAGAATCTTGTTTGTGACGAAATGGCCTCAGATACGATGGACTGAAAGGGATTTGTTGATAGAAATTAAATTATCTGAGGAAACATCTGTTTGGGTCTTTTACGTTGATGAAGTGATTTCTGCAGTCATTATTTCATGTATTCCTGCAGTAAGGGAAGGACTGTAAAGTCATATGAAGGGCATGACATTATTATCTTATGCACACAAGGTAAAAAACATCATCTTTTGAGGCTCTGTGGGTTCCGTAGCTGTCCCATCCAAATTGATATATAGGACTTTGAATGCAGGACTTATCAGACAACAACTACATTAGATTTTTTTTACCTTAATTAAAACAGAAGACAGTATTTTTTCTGCAAACAGAGAGTTGAAATCAAACAGAAGCAGCTGTTGTTTGTTCGACTCTCAGGAGAAAATCTGCAAATTAACCTTCCGGTGTTTTCATTCTCCTTCCAGCTGGGCCTCTCCGCTCGTCTCTCCGTCCTTTCATGTCTTTGTCTCGGTGTCCCCTCTGAGTCTGTCTCTGTGTTCACATCACATTCATATTCTGTTTACACTCTGCTCTCAACAGGCGCTGCCTGCAAACATCACATGATGTTTACAATAAACAGGAGGAGTCTGTGTTTTCAGTATGTTGTGTCTGGGACTGCACTGTATTCTGACATGTTTCATCAATGTTCCTGTTCACATCATCACCAGATATTTTAGAGCTTTGTAAACTCACAAGATGTTTCTGAAAACTATTGCACTTAGCGAATGTCTGAAAATGATTTGGGTGGAGAGGAGGCCTGCAATTATATTTCAATAACGAAAGGAAAATTAATTAAATAAATGAAAAAAGGCCCTCACCAATGTTATTTTCTTTGGACCCTCCCCTTTACATAAAAATATAGAAAAAATAACTGCAACACTCATCCATTATCCATGCACTCATTATATATCCATTAATAACTAACAGGCAAAGCATAAATAATTTAAGATGGTCTCCCTGACTGAAACCATAATATGTTGTTATATAAGGGTCATTCTGGTATGTTTCAACCTGAATCCTTTTCCGTGTGTTTTTATGTATAATGGAGACAACAGTTTTTAAAATTGGTCCAGTATTGAGTGAGACAGTCGGTGAAGCTGGCTGCAGCGTAATCCTTTTGGGCAATTACAAACTGTCAAAATACCTCCGCCACAAGTGTTTGTTTTTGCCACTGAAAGGCTCAGATTGTTGACATCAGTGTCTGACATCCTTATGGAAAGGATCCCTACAGAGATAGACCTTTTTGTTAAAGAGCAAGCTCATTTTTGCTTAACCAGAAACAGCAGTTACATCGCTATGTTCATGGCCCCCAGACTGCACAAACGAAATCAGTCATTTTACCCTTTAAGTTCATATCACTTAATTCAGACTCGACGGAAACTAAATAAAGCTCAGCAAAACCTTGGTTCGTCTTTCAACTGTTCCTATAATCTCCAACTCTGGTTTGGTTAAAATATTCCTTTAATTAGTTGGATGAGAAAATACGTGCAAAATGGGCTGCTATAGCTACCATGTAAATCCTTGGGGACAAGTGTGCCCGTCAAAGTGCGTCCACTAAAAGTGCTTGTAGTTGCCACTGACAGACTCAGATTGTCATTCTCAGTGTCTGACAGCATTATGGAAAGGATCCCTACAGAGATAGACCTTTAATTTAACTAGAAACAGCCATAATATCACTATCACTCTCCACCAGACTCCATAGACAAAACAAGTAATTTTACCTTGAATAGTACCGTAACACCATAACTTCAGTAAAAGTGGACAGAAACAAAATAAGACTCACCAATACTGTCGTTGTCAGTCTTTCCACTGTTCCAACAATCACCAACTCTGCTTTGGTTGAAATAAATCCTTAATTCGATAACTCGATTTAAGGGTTTATTTCAAAGTCACTCTCCCTTCTCTCTCCAACAACATCTCCCATTTTATCGATCTCTGTTTCACTTAAAGCTTTAAATGTGGATTGCTCTTCATGGCTTAGAAAAGAGGGAATTTGTGTCGTCGAGCGGCGCAACATTTGACGCCCATAACACACTGGACGATAGACACATGTCAAGAAGCCCCCAGAGTGCAGGCTTACATAAGAAAAACAATGGATGCAGGCCTTTTGCCTTTTTTTTTCACCCTTGCAAGATGTCCTCCAAGCTTGTTTCTTTTCAGGCTGTGCTGAGCTGGGAGGACGAACTATACAAAAAATAAACCTTCTAACCAAACTGAAACACAAGTACACAACTGAAACATAAAAAAAATCCATCCTAAAAAACACAAGTTAAATCAGGCATTTGAAAAATTCTTAAATAAAACACAAAACTCTGTATTAAACCTGCTACCTCCACATAATATCCCAAATTCTAACATACAACTCTCAACCTCAAACATTAAATGTAACCAACTAACACATTAGCCCTTTTACTAAAATCCGCTGCCTATCTGTGAGCGAGTGGTGCAAATCTAGTCACCATATGGCAGTGGTTACAGAAAAACTGGAAAGATGATAAAATAACTGGAAGGAAGAAATGGAAAGGAGGGAAAAAAGGGAGAAATCAATTGAAAGAAATCCAAACAGTAAAGCTGATGTGAAGCTGACCCCTCTGAGCAATTTATGATGAGCACACGGGGGCTGATGCTGTAGATTTTCTGCAATCTGTGTGTTTCAGCCTGTTTTTCACTCATTCCTTCCCATTAAAAGCTCTTTTTTGATAATACATTTCGGAGCTGAAGCAGACAAGGATTTAAACTGAGGTTGTTCTGATCATGGCGAGCCCGCAGCTATCTGTGAATGCACTCTGGATTTATTTATTCATCCCTCCATCTGTGCACCTTTTATCTCTCTCTGCCTCATCTGCAAATTAAATGTATTTGATAAGGTGAACAGTTTACTTACACACTACATCTAGACGCTCTCTCTGCATATTTATGGACTTTTGTGTATGGATGAACAAACACACACACTTACAGGAAATGTTAAGAGCTACTTATGTCACACTCACCACTCTGTTTTTATTTGACTAATTATTTCCATTCACTTGTTCTTTACCATATCAGTTGCTGTTAAAGTGACAATTTCCATTTAAATAAATCTGTTAGGTCACTGTTCTTTGCAAAATG